GCGAGCAAGGGGGGGGTCCGACTCCCTGGACCCCCCCCTGTAGACGCCCCTGCTCGGGCGCGAAGCGACAAAGGCGAGGGAGCCAAGCGACCGAGCAGGGGAGGGTGTGGGAGGGGGGTGTTCACTGTTCACCCTCCGCACGATGGAGATTTTGCAATTATTACACTAAAATGAAGCGACCTGAGGTGAAATTCTTGCAAATTTAAAAAAAAACAATTTTTTTGCTTGGGGGGCTCGGGGGGGGGTCGTTCGAACCCCCCGAACCTCCCTGGCTACGGGCCTGTAATAGTATTAATGTTTAATTTGACCTAATAACTTACTAGACTAAGCCCAATAGGCCTACACCGCTGCAACACACATTCCTATAGCGCGCACGCCATTGTGCACAAATACACAGTAATATAGGGTGTATTACTGTGTATTACTGCATACTATGTATTACTGTGTATTACTGCATACTGTGTATTACTGTGTATTTGTGCACAATGGCGTGCGCGCTATAGGAATGTGTGTTGCAGCGGTGTATTGGACGGTATTGAAGTGAAGTTATTAGGTCAAATCAAACATTAAGACTATTACTGGTACTGGTACTGGTAGGTCTAGTACTGACAAGTTGTATTTATTATTGACATTTTATTATTGAAACGGCCCAAGTGCCTGTGGAACAGTGAGCTGAGCTTGTTGACGTAGACGCCATAACGAATTGGTACACAGCACTGCAGACAGTTGCACAGCAGCAGATACAGCAGCATCCGGGAACTTCGTGTGAACCTGCTTACTAATGGCCTACCCCGGCTGTGATTGGAGAGTGGTCTATCTTGCGCCTATGGCGCTATATAGGGTCCCTGTATACAGAGAGTTGCGCCAACTCAGGATTTGACGCCATTTTGTTTCCAAATGGATCCTCACCCCGCTGGCTTAAGTACAGCGCTGTATGGTTACGCTGTACAATGGTCCGTAGTAATTAATTAGACTAATCGTGCTTCAATAAACTCAAAATTTACAGAGATTATAGCTAAGACATGTGTCTATGTGTATCTAGATTTCTAGAAATGTAACTCAAATCGTTCGCGCCATATGATAATTTAATTGTACACTTTCTTACGGCCATAGCCGTGCGTATCATTTTGGAAACAACATGTCGTCCAGCGACCACGTGACCGATTTTTTCCGACTCGTCATGGCGCAACTCTCTGTATATAGGGACCCTATTCTTAATTATTATTCATGACCTGGGATCATCCTGACCTGTAAACAATGGCTGCTCAGGCAGGCACGCACAGAGGGGGTACACGCACGTACACGCTGGTACACGCAGGTACACGCACGTACACGCGGGTACACGCACGTACACGCAGATACACGCACGTACACGCAGATACACGCACGTACACGTACACGGAGATACACGCACGTACACGCGGGTACACGCACGTACACGCAGGTACACCACGTACAGCAGCAGATACACGCAGTACACGCAGATACACGCAGCGTACACGTACACGCAGATACACGCACGTACACGCGGGTACACGGAGATACACGCACGTAGCACGCGGGGTACACGCACGTACACGCAGGTACACGCGGTACACGCACGTACACGCAGATACACGCACGTACACGCAGATACACGCACGTACACGCGGTACACGGAGATTACACGCACGTACACGCGGGTACACGCACGTACACGCACGTACACGCAGATTCGTCTTGCCAATGCTACGTATCGTATACATATACCCTATCCAGATGAGACGGGATACTAGAGAAGCGTTGCCGAAAGGAGATTTGATCCGAAGCGCTGAAGCGCAGATCTTTCGCGCAGTTCCGCGGCAAGGCGCACGCGACCGCGGGAACGTCCTACGACAGTATGCAGCGCTGGCAGCTATGGATCCGTGCGCGTAATGAATTGGCGGGCGCACGGATCCATAGCTGCCAGCGAACAGTCCGCAATTTTAGTGGGGGACACAGAGGTGACATTTGGGACGTGACAGTGTTCACTTGTTATAAAAACTGTAACCGAGTAATCTGTTGGTAACCGAGCTGTGTCACGCGAAATCACAGAAAGACTGTCGAAATTCTGACATTCGCGAACCTTGCCCAGTAATGGAAACGGCTGTCAGAATCAGGAAACACCTACCGGCGCTCTTCGCGCCCCAACGCTGCAACGTTTTTCCAACGTTGCAATGGCGAGGCTCGTACGGGAGTTGGAAAGCAGTGCGCCGCCTGCCCGCCGCCTATAGCCCATAGACTGGCACTCTCTCGCACCTCTCGGCTTAGCTTAGTCACTCAATGGCTAATCGAGGTGGGAGCAAGTCCTAGTCTATATATAGCCTTTGCACCTCGCAACCTTCTTGAAAGAGAGTAGGCCTATACTACAAACATTAACAATTTCGTAGTAAATATATTTCGTATTTAGTTAGCATTATATTTTATTGAAACGCTTCAAGTGCCTGTGTCTAGTATAGCCTAGGAAAGTTTCTTGCATCTGTTATGGTAACACGTAGTTTAAATGTACTCGTGACTAACATACCATATAGTAATGTATGACCACGAATTGTACCAATTATTAGCATGCAGCATCGAAATGCAGCTAATAACAGCATGCAAGCTAAAATGTCCATGCTGTATATCATTGAAACCGCTAAGATGACTAACTGAACAATAGTACTTTGCTAAAATGGGTTGCTGATTTTTGTGACATGACATTGAATTGCCATATATTTCAATTGTGAAATGATGGGGGTAGGGTAGGCATTATAATATGAGAACCTGCCAGTTACAATAGTATAATAGACTATTATAATAAGTTATTGTTACGATGTACCATGATTAATTGAGAGCTTTCAAACATATAGTGATGTATGGATTATGGTAACAATTTCAAGTAACTGTGAAAAATAGAAGAGACGATTTTGAATGGTCGAGTGGCATCGAATGCAAGGCACGTAATAAAAGTGCAAAACCTAAACTCAATCACCATGCTGCTCTATTCACAAGCTCATGCCCATCCCCTGTGTATACGCAATACGTTTCTCTGTTTACGTTCGTCGAACGGTGAGTTTACGTTTCAGCTGACCTCAGGGTTAAACACTACAAAGTCTCGCTTTTTCATACGTAAGCCGAGCCGGCTCGAGGAAAGGTCGAAGGGAAATCGCACGCATATCGCGTCGTTACGCCATCTATCGCCCGCCACTACACTAATGTACACTCATGTACAGTGATGTGAAAAAATACTAAAAGTGTGTTTTTACAGGAAACCAAGCGCGCCCGAGTCGCCAAAAATCTTATACAAGCATTTCAAGCAATTGTCAAGCTACATGGGTAGTCAAATCCGTCGTCCAATCGCTAGAACTGCTCAACTCAGCGAGCTTGCTGCTTGCCTTATATATGTAAACCCGTTGAAGGTGATGGAATGGTGGCAGCGTATCCGTATTAGAGGCCGCCCCTGGCGGCGTTGGCGCGCTTCGCGCGACAATAATCCGGCTGCCAAGAATGTCAAGAGCTAATAATACCTTGACCCTATGCAAACATAATATATATATATATATATATATATATATATATATATATATATATATATATGTATATATATATATACATTCATGTGACGACCCTTGGAGTGACCGCACCATGCACACACTGCACAAGAGTTGTTTTAAATCATTAGCTGCCATGCAGTACCCGTTTGTATGTGAGTGATTCTTAGGTTATTTGACAGAAACAGTACGGATTGTAGGTACTACCATATGCTGTTACGACCATGCGTGTTTCGTGCTGCTGCCTTTGCCTCGTCGGTGTGTGGCTGCGCTCCGTACTGGCGCAGTCGGACTGTTGGTGAATATTTCTTACTATTTACTCCCTCCGCCACCTCTGCCGGAGCTGGGAACGCCCTGGTGGGCGAAGAGGCCCAGTGGTTCTGGCCGAGAATAACGAGATTAGATCATTTACGGTTAACTTCTCGCAGGAGGTTATAACCGATCTGTACGAAAGACTAGACAGAACAAGATACACGGAGTCGCTACCGCTGGTTTAGGTTTCATTATGTGTTTCATTCGGACATGTTGAAGAAGGTAGTGAAAACATTGGCGGCACACATACATGTAAAGAATGCGCAGGTCGAACTGAATAAGTACAAACATTTTCTCACCGAAATTAAGCGGCATAGAACGTACCTTTCGTTCACGTCAAACCGAAGTCAAGTTACAAGAATGTGACGCCTCTGCTAATGGTACATGGCTGCGGGAAGCCTTCTAGCGAGTTGCTACAAGATCATCCCGCTGCTTACGATCCATTGGCTCACGGTGGAAAAAGGATGACCTGTTTTCGAGATAATTTGTCCTTCTATTCCAGGATACGGGTTCTCCGAAGCGGCCCACAAGAAAGGTATGTTAATAGAAATACACGAGTTATAGTACCTAATCTTTATAGAAATACACGAGTTATAGTACCTAATCTAGAAATACACGAGTTATAGTACCTAATCTTTAATAGAATACACGAGTTATAGTACCTAATCTTTAATAGAAATACACGAGTTATATCTCACCTAATCTTTAATAGAAATACACGAGTTATAGTACCTAATCTTTAATAGAAATACACGAGTTATAGTACCTAATCTTTAACAGATCGAAATACACGAGTTATATCTCACCTAATCTTTAATAGAAATACACGAGTTATAGTACCTAATCTTTAATAGAAATACACGAGTTATAGTGACTTCAGCATCTAATCTTTAATAGAAATACACGAGTTAGAGTACCTAATCTTTAATAGAAATACACGAGTTATAGTACCTAATCTTTAATAGAAATACATGAGTTATATCTCACCTAATCTTTAATAGAAATACACGAGTTAGAAGTAGCCTAAATCTTTAATAGACAAATACACGGGGAGTTAATTAGTACGGCATAATGCTTTAATAGAAATACATGAGTTATATCATCGACCCTAATGCTTTAATAGAAAATGGTAGGGGCAGAAATAGCGTACCGTGGGAACAGGGACGGGCGACAGATGGCGTCCGACATAGTTAGAAGGGACGGCCGGTCTAACGGCCGGGCAACGGCCTCGCCCGACTCTAGAACAAGGCCGAAGGCAAACGGGCAGGCAATAAGCGAGTCGTAATGACAGTCCGAGAACTGGTCAAGGAGGTATCGAACCCCAAACAATAAGTCACCCGGCCCCAGCCGTCATTGCAGCCACTAGCCAGACCATAAATCAGGAAAGGCAGTGGAACGCGGACACGCGTTCACGGCTTAAAAGAGAGCAGTTTTAGAGAAACGGGAGAGACCCGGACCGTCACTTGGTATGTGCGTATGCTACTGCTAACCGTGTTTTACAATAAAGCTACAAGTTGTTCACCGTTTACACGAACTCTTACGTCTATCTACGAGTTACCGTCTACGATACATCTTAGACTCTACAGAAATACACGAGTTATAGTACCTAATCTTTAATAGAAATACATGAGTTATATCTCACCTAATCTTTAAATAGTAAAAATAAAAAAAATATTTCCACTTTTTCACAAAATATAAGTAATTCTGTTCACTTTTTATGGTTAAATTGCTGCATTATACTTCCTGTCGCTTTTTCACAAAATATAAGTAATTCTGTTCACTTTTTATGGTTAAATTGCTGCATTATACTTCCTGTTTTACTATATTGTTCGATGTGATCATACACTCGTGACTCATACATAGCCCATAGCAAGCAATTACTGTTGGGAACATTAATATCAAATCGTCCAGGTTTTTTAGATTTTCAACTAGTTGAGAAACAATCTTATCAGGTAAGAATTTGACGATACCGTTAGTTCTTACTTTTAATGTAAAAAATGGCAACATTTTTTTGCAAATTTTACCATAGAAAATTCGTGACGTAGGCCTAGTGAATTTAATAGAAATACACGAGTTATATAGTACCTATAGTCTTTAATAGAAATACACGAGTTATATCTCACCTAATCTTTAATGCTTGTACTCCTGACATTATTATTGTTTTGTTACTGTTCTTATAATGATTCTCCCGATTGCTATATCACTATACTTTTATCTATAGTAATATGTTTGCAATGCTATATTATCCGCACAATGTGCTACTTATTACTTGATATGTTGCTACGTCACTAATCATTAATAAGAAATATAATATCGAAAGAATCGCTATTCGGTTATGTGCTTTGCACCTAATTTTCCTAATTTTCTCATTCCAGTGTTTGGTAACAATGTATTCTATCATTTGTATACACTAACGGTTAATATGCTCACCTATTCTACATGCCTTGCCTTCCACTGCCAGGTTTCTCAGTGCTATACGCATCACAGATTTTTGACAAGCTCATGAGTCGTCTTGGGCATCAGAGCTACTTCGTACAAGGTGGAGACTGGGGATCTGTTATTGTACACGTAATGGCTCTCTACTATCCTGACAGGTACTTACCATTACCAGTTCCATTACCGTTACCATTACGAGGTACTGACAGGTATTTACCGTTACAGGCGACAGTGACTATATTCGTGACTACACTTAGTTTATGTACTCTTGCTTTATTACGAACTGAATGGATAAATTTTGGACATATAAGGAAACGTAATTTTAAGCGCCTAAATAATTATTCTTTACTAAACCCCACGCTACTTTTAAAGATCAGTCTGTTAGTGAAGAAAGGTTACTGCAGTTATTAATTGCTATGTCTCGGTCCATAGGTCTGTTATTACCTCCGCCAAGGGGTTGGCAGGAGGTTATGTTTTCACCGGCGTGTGTTTGTTCGGCGTGTGTTTGTTGGTTTGTGGGTTTGTGTACAGCCTAACTGAAAAAGTTATGGATGGATTGTTATAAAATTTTCAGGATAGGTCAGAAATAGGCTAACTTACAATTGATGAGATTTTGGTGGTGATCCGGATCCAATTAATTAATTAATTAATTTTAATTAATAACATTTTTAGGATAGGTCAGAAATGGGGTAACTTAGAATTGATTACATTTTGATGGTGATCCGGATCGAATTAATTAATTAATTAATTAATTAATTAATACAATTTTTCACAGTGAGAGAATTCAGCTGCCTTGGCGGAGGTCTGCGCTCTCCGAGTGCTCTAGTTAATATTGGTTTTACGTTTAGGGTACAGGGAATGCATATGAACATGGCAGGATTTATTCCGTCCAGGACGCCCTCTTACTTGTTAAGAGTTGCCATTGGTTCCGTTTTTCCCGCTCTTGCATTCCCCGAAAACGATTTGTGGAAGGTGTACCCTTACATGGAGAGGCTTACAACTCTGTGGGAAGAGACTGGATACTGGCATGAACAAACAACCAAACCTGACACGCTTGGTAAGGAATTTATATATAATATCTAAAGCCGGGTGCACGCGTGGCAATTTTTATCACTAGTATTGGTGATTATGTTGCCGGCCACAGAATCGCCGATAGATCGTCACGTGTGTGCTGCATGGCGATGGTGATTTTGACGCCAGTAACTCATCGCTGGAATATCAAACATATATATTTGTTGCCGAGTCGCTGAACAATCGCCACGTGTGCGCTGCATTGGCGACGGATTCAGGCAACAGTTTTTAGCTCAGCTGACGAAGTCAGATGCAGCTTGTCGAATCGCATGATTGTCCGTGCGTCCGTCCGTGCGTCCGTCAACAGTTTGGCACAAATCTTAACCGCTCGACGTACGGTCTAGATATTCGGAACGTCGGGGGGGAGGGGTCGCGAAAAGGACTCGGGATGTCGAATTTGGGGGTCAAGGGTCAAAGGTCAAGGTGTGTCAATGGAGGGGGAATATTTCCCCCTTAACTTAAGATATAGGAGGAAATACGGAATTGGCGGCACAAATCTCAACGGCTTAGTCTACGCTCTTAATATCCGATGTATAGTGTGATGGGAGGAAACCCATCACCAGCGCGAAATTGGAGGTCACAGGTCAAAGGGCAGTAGGGGAAAGGTCAGATATCAGACATTTTCTGAGGACATGGTCTAACGGACCGAGTGCAAAACTTTTTTGTTTCAGCGGCTGACCTACCATTTTTATCACTTATTGAAAGGACCATGAAATGTGCTTTCCGCTGACGTGCGAAGAGTAAGTGTCTGATAACCTTTTGACCCTCAAGAGGAAGGGTAAACACGGATTTGTTGACTATTAACAAAGGACTGAACTGCTTTTGCTATTAGAGCCCCTCCACCCGGCCCCCACCCTCCTCTCCCTACCTCCCCCCTCCCCACCACCCACCACAACGCTCGCGCTCGACGCGACGCATATCCATGATAAATGTTAAATAATGAAGTCATTAAAGTTACACAGCTGTATCTTTATTACTGTACTACCTGTATAGCAAAGCCTATCATAGATTTTAGATCTGTATTAGTAGTATCCTAGATATATGCTGTGAGCGCAAACGCGGTGGCGGGAGGCGCACTTGATTCGGTTGCCAGTGAGTTTATCAGAAGAATACCCGGCTACAGTACACGTCAGTTGAGCGCTGTCGCTCTGCGGCACATGTTGGATTAAATCCAGATGAGACGGGATACTAGAGAAGCGTTGCTGAAAGGAGATGTTGATCCCAATTGCGCTGAAGCGCAGATCTTTCGGCGCAGTTCCGCGGCAAGGCGCACGCGACCGCGGGAACGTCCAACGACAGTATAACAGCGCTGGCAGCTATGGATCCGTGCGCGCGAATGAATTGGCGGGCGCACGGATCCATAGCTGCAGCGAACAGTCCGCAATTTTAGTGGGGGACACAGAGGGTAGACATTTGGGACGTCAACAGTGTTGACTTGCTATAAAAACTGTAACCGAGTAATCTGTTCGTAACCGAGCTGTGTGACGCGAAATCAGAGAAAGACTGTCGAAATTCTGACATTCGCGAACCTTGCCCAGTAATGCAAACGGCTGTCAGAATCACGAAACACCTACCGGCGCTCTTCGCGCCCCAACGCTGCAACGTTTTTGCAACGTTCGAATGGCGAGGCTCGTACGGGAGTTGGAAAGCAGTGCGCCGCCTGCCGCCGCCGCCTATAGCCCATAGACTGGCACTCTCTTCGCACCTCTCGGCTTAGCTTAGTCACTGCAATGGCTAATCGAGGTGGGAGCGAGTCCTAGTCTATATATAGCCTTTGCACCTCGCAACTTCTTGAAAGAGAGTAGGCCTATACTAGAAACATGAACAATTTTCGTAGTAAATAGATTTCGTATTTAGTTAGGCATATATTTTATTGAAACGCTTCAAGTGCCTGTGTCTAGTATAGCCTAGGGGTATTCTAACCCCTAAAAGAGCGTTTCTTGCTAGTCGTATAGTAGTCTAGTAGTACTAGTGGTTCAAGGATAGAGAACATGGCTCCCAATATTATATGGGCCCCAATGTATGTATGGCATGGCCAATAAAACCAATGTCATTTACATCAATCTAAATATAATATTATATCAATATAATAGGTTAGGGTTATGGTTAGGGTTCGTCATAGCTCTAGTACTATAGCCGCTTACATTAACTGCCGCTGGCAGACGACCGCTTCGACCGCCAGATAACCGCCAGCGGCAGTTAATGTAAGCGGCTATAGTACTAGAGCTAGGTTCGTCATTATTAGTAAGTTAGTTAATACTAGTAACAGAGTTAGTCATTATTACTATTACTATTAGCTCCTGCGGTCCTGGTAGTTACTAGTACTAGTACTAGTAGTGCTGGTAACTTAGTAGTACTACTACTACTAGTACTAGTAGTAGTAGTAGTAGTGCGGTCGGGTAACAACGCATCTTTTGCGCAACGCCATCTTGTACACGTCTCTAGTGCGCTAGTGGCTCAGTCTAAACGAACTGATGATCAGTGTGTGCTGTACCGTGTACGTGCGGGCTTGATCTTGCCACGGCAAAAACATTCGCGGGCGCTGCGGGCAAACCAGATGAGACGATAAATCAGTCAGCTTTCGTGTCCAATTGACTGGGACGCACGTTCATTACGCCAAGTATCTCTCGCTACACTAAAGTTATAGTAACTCGAGCGTTACAAAATCGACGGCGGGGCAGTCTAAGCCTAATTCTCTCGAACATCCCTCCAAGAGAGACTCGTCGCCCCATCTATGGGTAGCGATAGTACCAGAATAAATTCACGGCGTGTAATTAAACAAATTCCAAATCGTTTTTGTAAAAAAACAACTAACGCGCCAACCAAAAAAACCTCCAATTACGACCATTGGAGTTATGCTCGCCCTATGTGTATAATCCAAAAGTTTGTCGAAGCGCCAGAACTCCTGAATTGACCGATAACACCCCGATTTTACATAACCATGGAATTGGTTGGAAATGGGGAGCAGCGAACTATATGAAATGGCGCCACAAGATGGCGCGACCAGCGCTTCGCGCGGATATCTGCTGCGGAACGTCCAAGATGAGACGGGATACTAGAGAAGCGTTGCCGAAAGAAGGTGTTGACCCGAAGTGCTGAGCGCAGATCTTGCGCGCAGTTCCGCGGCAAGGCGCACGCGACCGCGGGAACGTCCTACGACAGTATGCAGCGCTGGCAGCTATGGATCCGTGCGCCGAATGCTTAGACCAGCGCACGCATCCATAGCTGCCAGCGAACAGTCCACAATTTTAGTGGGGACACAGAGGGCAGACATTTGGGACGTGAACAGTGTTCACTTGTTATAAAAACATAATGTCTCTGTTCGTAACCTAGCTGTGTCACGCGAAATCACAGAGACTGACGAAATTTTCGCGTTCGCTCCCAGTAATGGAAATGGCTGCAAGTACAAAGGCTATATAGACTGGGACTCACTCCCACCTCGATTACCCATCGAGTGACTAAGCTAAGCCGAGAGGTGGAAGCGAGTGCCAGTCTATGGCTATAGGCGGCGCACAGGCGGCGCACTGCTTTCCACATCCGTACGAGCCTCGCCATTGGAACGTTGCAAAAACGTTGCAGTGTTGCGGCTGACAGCCATTTCCATTACTGGGCAAGGTTCGCGAACGCGAGAATTTCGTGAGTCTTTGTGTGATTTCGCATGACAGCTCATTTACGAACAGAGACATTATGTTTTTATAACAAGTGAATACTGTTGTTCAAGGAGAAACAAAGATGGAAGCTGTTGAATGTGTATTCGTGCTGTGAAAGTTTCAAATGAAGTGAGCGTCGAGCGAATTTTGGCAGCACGCTTTCCTACCTGCTATATATATTAGTGTAAGCGTGCAACAATCGCGCCGCGAGAGCAATTATGGCAGCCGGCAGCGTACGTTGGACGTAGAATTTCGACGGAATTTACAGGAAACTCGGCAATAATACTAATAGGTCAAAGAGAGTAGGCCTATGCTATAGAAACATGAAGAAGTTGGTAGTAAATAGATTTCGTATTTAGTTAGCATTATATTTTATTATATTTAGTAGGAGTACTAGTAACACTAAACAGGAGTCGTCATTATTAATATTAGTAACTTACTAGTACCGGTAACACAGTTTGTCATTATTAGCTCCTGGTAGTAACTAGTACTAGTACTAGTATACTGTAGTACTAGTAGTCCTGGTACTTAGTAGTACTAGTAGTAGTACTAGTAGTACTTACTACTACTAGTACTAGTAATTATTGTAACATGTACTTGTAGTAATATAGAAGTATTCGTAGGTGTGGATACAATTCGATGCTCGCATTGGGGGATCGTGTTAGATATCATATATATATATAGCCTAGGTGCCTGTAGAATCACGAGTACGAGGCACATTGGACGATTGGTTTTTATTGGGACTCATGTTCTCTATCCTTGGGCCGTCCGAGTCGGAGCACTCCGGAATTCCACGTGAATTCTTACGGAACACTTACAGTTCAAGCTTCCACACTGTTCACAGTTTTAGGCACTTCTGCACCATGTTGAAATCTTTAGTTTGATGAGGGATGTGAACTATGCAGAGATACAATAGCAGATAACAGTGACAATGAAACTAACTGTAATTACTACGAAGACGAATTCGTATATATCGTATCCTCTAAACTCCGCTGGTCAACGCTAACGCATGAGCGCTATATTTGTTTACAATGTCACAAAAAACTCCGTTATTACAGAAAGAAAAGCGCGCCTAGTAGCCTCACGAAATTGCGGCAGCATTTCTAGCCCGTCTCTACATAACTGGGTAGTGAGATCCCTCGTGCAATGGGCAGAACTGCTCAATTCATCGAAAAGCCGGCTTCAAGCCTCTCCTGGAAGGACCGGCGATACTTGCGTTGGGTAGAAGGCAGCGACATTGCTAAAAGTGGCCGCTACGCGGCGTTTGAGCGCTTCGCGCGGATATCCGGCTGGAGACTGTCAAGAGCGGGTTTCGCGAATTTTCAAATTCGCACGGCACACGCCGCTACACAGTTACACTTATATACATCAAGAGTACATAATAGATATATCTTTATCCTAAACACAACTTCTAAGTTTTTATGAAATAAAAATCGTGCTTACTCGATCAAAGTGTTGGTAATGATACCGCAGTATATGTCAGGAAATGTGCCGCGAAAAAATCCCAACGCAATGATCGAGGCCATAATACAAACGTCATAAGCGTAAGTATATAAAATATATTATAACGAGTACTCCAAAATCTTGTTTTATGTTATTTCGTTTAATTTGCCACAACGTCAGCTGGCTTCCAAGACATAATATATCGCCCCCACCTTTTTTAGGAGCTGGCCTCAACGACAGCCCTGCTGGGCTAGCGGCCTGGATCCTAGAGAAGTTTTCGTCTGGGACTTCTTTCTCTAACAGAAACAATCGCGATGGAGGACTGACCACGCAGACGTTTACCTTAGATGAGCTGCTTCACAACATCATGATATACTGGGCGACAGAGAGCATCACGACATCGATGAGATTCTACAAAGAAACTTGGAATAATGGTTTCACCGCTTTACGGTACGTATATCTGCCGAACATATTTGATAGGTAGCAGGTTCGGTAGTTCACCTATTTATTTCGATACATGTGCTTTCCCACATATTCTCCCTGTCTGTCATTGTGTGTCCGTGTGTTCCTGTTTGTTTGCCTTTATGCACGTACATACATATGTATGCGTGCATGCATGTACATATATAAGTATGTGAGTCTATGTATGTTTGATACAGGGGGCAAAAGTCCACTGTGCCGGTGGGATACGCCGTGTTTCCCGGTGAGATAAGTGTGTTGCCACGTTGTCTTGCTAGAGACACCTACCCCAACATTGTTCAATACACGGACATGCCGAGGGGTGGCCACTTCGCTGCTTTAGAAGAACCGGAGCTTTTGGCAGACGATGTCAGAAACTTTGTGGCTGCTGTCCAAGAAGGTCGCGACCAGATGAAAGAGGAACTCTAATAACAATAATGAACAGTATTTCACGCTCAATCGATTAGTTTAGCTACATTTTACGCAAAATGCGTTAATCTAAATAACCAAATTTCATTAATCTTGTCGAATATAGAAAAAAACTATCATCGTTATATTATGTCAAATATGTAAGATGGTTCTTTCCCCTTGTAAATCAACCACGACAGTAGTCACATCGCATAAGCCGCATGTGCAATGTGCAATGTTAAATCCGCCAATAGGTGGCGATGTGTGTCTGACATGACACATGAAGCTGCATGTCCAGTCTGCATATCAAATAAAAAAAATAGTGTTTTGTTGAAATTATATTTTCAATTTAGAGATGTCATTCTTTTCATTCGATGATTCAATGATGAGGGGCCTGCCCGTGATAAACTTCCCAGTAGCCTAGAGGGATATCTCAGTACACACATGCTCAGTATTACCATAATAACAGATTTTTTATCTCGAAATTAAAACGTTTAAAACGAAGAGCAAAGCCTCGTTGAAGTATCTTAACATCAAAAATAAATCCCGCTGTCTCTCTATAATACCTGTAGGCTGATCTGGCTGACGAAAACTCAATGATAATATTATCAATAAAGTGTAACTCATCCATTAGATAACAATATCTGTACTGCGGTGCGATATATATGCAGATTTATGTTCTGCATTTACCAAATGAGTGATGTAGTGTTCTGTTTTGATTAGGGGTTTCTTCATTTAGATACTACCTAACCACCAGTTTCGTTAATAATCTTAAGCTGCCTAGTCATACAAAATTTCACTGTCGTATAGCGATAAACCTCTATGTGCTCATACCCAGTACTCTTCAAAATAAAACACTATTTTTGAAATTATACGTTTTAAATAAAGAGTAGATATTCCACACAGTAGCTTGACATTAACCATTTATCCCGACATTCCTGTTTAAAGTGACAGGGCACCCTGACAAACGTAGCATTAATAAAACGTAAATCAGCCAATAGGTGGCGAGATGTGTACTACATGACATACGCAACTGTATATCCGGCGGTTTTATTTATGTTGCATTACATTGCCGTACATCATAGTGCACAATCTGGAGAGCAATACAGCTTAACACGAAAAAGCTAACACGAAAGGTCTCTATTCGAAGCAGTCTATATTTAATAATCATATGGTGTCTAGTCGTAATAGATTTCCTTGCATCATAGCGGGGAGCGGGAGACCACTGTTCATAGCGGCAAATACAGACGGGTGCTGATACCACATCTATACCGTCTAATTGTTCGAATAGTGGCGGCGGGTAAATCCACGCAGATATAACAGCGCAGCAGGCTTGTGCGTTCACACCGCGTACCTGTCATTTCTGCAAGACACGAACGGCAGCCATGCATTGACTCGCCTTCCAAACGAATCCGAGACAATTTCCGCCGAGCAAAAAAACAAATGTTAAATGTAGACGTAGCATCAATGTAATAAATCGTTTCATGGCAAACATACAAATTTCTCGGACTTGTGGGTTGTTTTCAGACAGTGCGGTGTTTCACACAGATACACACATGTACAGATGGACGCACAAACGCACGCGCGCACGCGCGCACGCACGCACGCACGCACGCATGCACGCACAAACACATGCGCAAACGCCCACACACATGCGCAAACGCACACTCCAACACACCAGCACCCACACACCACACAACACGACACACACACACAACATATTATATTATATATATATTTATATACATATATCACTTACACACACCACACCACAGCCACACACAACACCATATATAGTATATATATATACATAGTCATATTCCACACCCAACACACACACACACACACACACACACACCCACCACACACACACACACACAACCACGCACACACCGCACACCACACACACACACACACGACACACACATACGCGCGCGCACGAACACACGCACACGCACACGTACGCACGCACGCACACACACATATAATATATTACTATATATATAGATAAAGTTATACGGACACGGTAGTAATTTTGACTCTGTTTATTGCATACAGAACTGTTTCGTGTGGAGCGAAAGCTTCACACTCATCAGTGCCAATACAGAGTGATCTATTTAGAACACTTCCTAAACTTGCTTAACAGAGAAGTTCTACATATTGTGGCAAACCTGAGACCGCGACACTGAACAAGAGAAACGAAACTTGTTAGTAAATGCAGACATAAAGATAAATTTTTATTAAGGACCGTTATGTGAACTCTTACAATGAATTCAGTTTAGCGCCAGCGCGCAACAGTCACCTACAATGACGCGCTAATTAGTATCTATGGTATTTCTTTAGAACGCGCACGTATGAATACGAACAATAGATTCACATTATGCATGATGTTTTTATATGCTCGGATGTTCTAAATAGATCAACTCTGTATTTAGCACTGATGAGGTGTGGGCTTTGCTTACCTACGAAACAGTTCTGTATGCATAAACAGATGGCAAAGATTACTACCGTGTCCGTATACTTATGCTATATTTGCTGGCTACTCATGATGTATTGAGCACTCCCTCGCACACGAGGCTTCATAAACAACCGATTGATCTCTATCTCTCTCTCTCTTTCTCTCCTCTCTCTCTCTCTCATCTCGTCTCTCTTGTCTCTCTCTCCTCTGCTCGTCTTTCCTATAGTATATATCATTATCGCATACGCGCTTGCCAGTCAGAGCGCTATACGGAATTAGAAATGACCGCTTACAGCTGGTCACATTTTAAGTAGAAACAGGAGCAAACGAGGTCGTTTCTACGTCACAAAGGACTAAAAGTCGTAAATGCCCCGCGGTCAGTACCTCGTGGTCAGCTCATCCCCCCTTTTAAAACCAAAGAAACCATGTTTAGTTTTGCTAAAACGATTAGCGGTCAAATCTGTCTTAGAGGATTTAGTCTAGCGTCTTAGAGCAATAGGAAGAGATCGGAACCAGCAAAGATACGTTAGTTTTGATAAAGGGCTTTCCCTCTGTGAGACTCACTGTGAATCGGTACCTCGGTTCACTGTGGTAAGAACGACCACCCACCCCCTGTGGTAGGTGTTCAATTTACCATGCAAGTCCTGCGCGTCCGCTTTCTTTTTTTCGTGGCAGTTTGACAAAGCATAGGGCAACGCGGCCTAGCGAGGATCCACCAAATGTTAACACGATAGGCAACGCGACTTAACCGGATGTTCCACTAGATAAAACGTAAGGCAACGCGACTACCGTGTTCCACTAGTACAACGATAGGCAACGGACACTACCGTGTTCTAGCAAGTAACAAGCATAGGCAACGCGGACTACGCGTGTTCTCCATAGATAACACACGATAGGGCAACGCGACTCCGTGTTCACAGATACAACGATAGCAAACGCGGACGCGGTGTTCGCCCATATGATACAACGTAGGCAAGCGACTACCTTGTTCTACCAAGATACAACGATAGGCAAGCGCGACTACGTGATCGCACGAAGGATAACAACGATAGGCAGGCGAGCCGTGTATCCCAGATAACAACGATGGCAACTGCGACTACATGTGTTCCAAGTACAACGATAGGCATACGCGACTGACAGTGTTCACCAGATACAAACGATAGGCAACGCGCTACGTGTTTTAGACCAAGATACCAGATAGCAACGCGCTACACGTGTTCCCAAGATAACACGATTGGCACGCGGACTACCTTGTTCACCAGCATCCCCGCATGGCAATCGCGATACGTGTCCATGTTTGCCAAGGCTACAACGCTAGCGCACGCGACTACCAGTGTTCCGCATGATAACACGCATTAGACTACGCGACTACGTGTTTACAAGATAACACGCCGATTGGTACGCGTCCGTGTCTGACCAAGTTAACACATAGCAACGCGACTACTTCCGCTTCACCCAAGGTAATAACGTTAGGCACGGCGACGACCTTGTTCCACCAAGCATAACAAAACGATAGGGCACGCGAACTACCTTGTTCTACCAAGGTAACAACGTAGGCAACGCGCTACCGTGTCTCCGACCAAGTTAACAACGATACGGCCACGCGACTACGTGTTCCCAGATAAACAACGATTAAGGCAACGCGACTACCGTGTTCCCAACGATAAACACACGATAGGCATCGGACTACTGTGTTCTACCAAGACAGACGAGAGGCCAACGCGATGACCTTTTGTTTCAGAATAACACGATAGCAACGCGATACCGTGTTCCCACCAAGTTCACACGATTAGGCAACGCGACTCCAGTGTTCCACCAGATACCAACGTAGCGCAACGCGACTCGCTTGTTCTACCAATGACAACGATAGGCAACGCGACTACAGTGTTCCACCAAGATAACAACGATAGACAACGCGACTACCGTGTCTTACCAAGATAACAACGATTGGTAACGCGACTACCGTGTTTGACCAAGATAACAACGATAGGCAACGCGACTACCTTGTTCTACCAAGATAACAACGATAGGCAACGCGACTACCGTGTTCCACCAAGATAACAACGATAGGCAACGCGACTACCGTGTCTTACCAAGATCTACCAAGATAACAACGATAGGCAACGCGACTACCGTGTTCCACCACCAAGATAACAACGATAGGCAACGCGACTACAGTGTTCCACCAAGATAACAACGATAGGCAACGCGACTACCGTGTTTGACCAAGATAACAACGATAGGCAACGCGACTACCTTGTTCCACCAAGATAACAACGATAGGCAACGCGACTACCTTGTTCCACCAAGATAACAACGATAGGCAACGCGACTACCGTGTTTGACCAAGATAACAACGATAGGCAACGCGACTACCTGTTCCTACCAAGATAACAACGATAGGCAACGCGACTACCGTGTTCCACCAAGATAACAACGATAGGCAACGCGATTACCTTGTTCTACAAAGATAACAACGATAGGCAACGCGACTACCGTTTTCCACCAAGATAACAACGATAGGTAACGCGACTACCTTGTTCTACGGTAGTCGCGTTGCCTATCGTTGTTATCTTGGTGGAACACGGTAGTCGCGTTACCTATCGTTGTTATCTTAGTGGAACACGGTAGTCGCGTTGCCTATCGTTGTTATCTTGGTGGCTCTACCAAGACAACAACGATAGGCAACACGACTACCGTATTCCACCAAGATAACAACGTAGCTATTATCGCTTACGCGATCACAAGTCGTAGCTGGGTCGAGACTCCTCTGGGCACTCGGAGTAAGGGCAAAAATTACCCTAATTAACAGAGTGTTAAAAGGAATACCTTTTATCGAGGTCAAGAAATAAAGCACGTATAGGATAAGATTATGCTGTAAGG